AAATGACTTGCCTTAAATGGATCAAATGTTTTCAATAATTTTTTCATCAAATAAAAGAAAGAGAAAGATAGCATTGCAACATATTTGTAAAGTGTTATATGAAAGTAATATGTAAACAACTAACACTCTCTTAAGTTGTATGCCATTGTTTTAAAAATGTCCACAGTCATCATTGTCAATTCACGATTAATTAGAAAACATCAAAACTGATAAACAAATATACAGTATTAGTCCGTTTCCCCTTTAAATCTGAGACTGTCATGTTAGATTTCTTGAAAACAAGCAGAAAGCGTGGTCTACCTTTGACTTGGATGCACAAGTTTCAAAATAGCATAAATAATTTACCCACCCTGACACAGCAGTTTCAAATATCCCAACATTGATAGAAGTTTTGATAAGAAACATACAGTACAGTAACTTCCAAAACCTGTCAACCTCAAAAATATTGGTTTATCTGGATACAATTTCAACTTGAAATGATGCACTGCTTATAAATGGGACTACTGCGGCAAACAGTATACAGTATGTATTTATGTTTAAGCTGTTGATCTGGTAATAAATAAATAATTCAGATATGGTCATACCGATTAAATGAATTGATTAAGTAACCAGCACTGCAGCAACACTCCATTCATCCAATTGTTTGGCCCCTATTTCTCAAAAGCTCAAACAGTCAATACAGTAGGAGTTTGAACCGCTTGAAAGACAGGAATATAGAACACAAAACCCCTGATGATCACTATATCTTTGTTTGATAAAAGCCATTTAACACTGGGCCCTTTAAGCGATAGGGGAGAAAGAGATGCTGCGGCATAATGGAAAAAAAAAAAAGAATGTAAAAATGGAGCATCTATCAATACCAAATCTCAAACACCAGTAAGACCTGCACTCTTGGGGAACGCTAGATAACAGGCTCATTTTGTATACTTTACAGAGGGCAAGAACACATTTATACCTCCTCCACTCATCGTTCATTATTCGGCAGTCTCCAGATAGACGCTATAGCTATAAGCGAGTAGTCGAGAACGTTTTTCCAGTCAGTGGAGAATACTCACCATTAAATAAATACAACTGCAGTTGCGCAGACAAATGAAGCAAAGTTTGACCAATGACTGCTCTAACAGCTCCGCTATGAGGATTTATAGTGTGTGGCAAAAACAAGCATCTGCGAGGCCTTATAGAGTAATTCATCCCTGGAGACTGCCAGCTGCACCAAGCGTGAAAAAAGAGAGCTGGAGACCAGGTGAGGACACCACCTACCACCTCCTCCAACTGGTGCCATGACAGTGTATTTTAAGCACTTATTTTTTGGATAAATTTTAATGTTTACACAACAACGATGTAGCCAAAAACGAAAATGCCTTGCATTTTGTAAAAGTTTCCAGTTTACATGACAGGGTTTTCAAAATAATCCGCATTTCCACATCCACGAAAACAGTCGTTGGCAGCTCTGCGCTCATGTTTATGTAGAATTTGCCATGTGTGTGAGATGTGTCTCCACTGTTGGTTGCAATGTGAAGTAAATCCACACTTTGGGTATAAAGCTTAAGCTAACACTTGAGCAACAACATCACTACTCCACCATTTGTTTGCCACTGCCTTTGATCTACACTTAAATAAAAAAAGTATTATAAACGCATATGCATACTTATGATGTCAGTTTTAAAAGCCTTTGTTTTCAGGTGTTTACACTTTTATTTTTGCATTTCAGGGGCTGCGGCTGAGCAGGCAATGGAGTAAGGTGTAAGTTGGGTAACCTCAGCAAAAACTTTATATAATTCGTAAAAATCTACATAACTGGCTGGTTTATTTATAAATCCAAGTGGCGAGCAAACTATGTGAATATAAGTACATGGGGAAAAATAATCAAAAGGATGCTAACACACCTAGCATAATGTCCGAGTCAGCTGAACACACTGACATTATGGTGATTAAAGCTGAGCTAATCTTATCTATCAAAACGGAAATATCCTCGCTCTTTCAAACAGAACTAAAACATGTATTATCTAACAAATTTGATTGGTCAAAGATGAATTACCAGCAGTTAAATCTGAGATAGCAACTAAAGCCTGGTTTATACTTCTGCGTCAAGTTATCGGTGTGACCAACAGCGAATGTAATGCGCATTTATATTTCTGTGTGCTGTTTCTGTTGCTCTGCAATAACACTTTTGAAACGCTACCTGGCAGTAGGTGTTTATGTTCCTCTGTGTTGAGTTACTTCGCTGGTGTTTTTTTTTTTTTTTAACGCTACCTTCATTTACAAGTGGCTCAAACTCGCTCAATTTGAGGCTGGAATCGGCAGCTTTAATCATAAGGTAAACACAAAACAACAGTCTCCATCCAGAGCTCTTTCATAGAACTCCACACTTGTAAACACTTGCTGCATCGGGCTCGCACAGCTCTCACCTCCGCCCACACTCGTCAGCGATACCAAACCGACCAACCACAGAGCTTGCGCTATGCGTCATTGCGATGTGTAGTTACATTTTTTGAATGGTGCGCGTTAACGTCGCTGATGGCCACAGCAAGGAATATGCATCTACGCGTAGGCTGCGCTGTAAGATACGAGTGCACTCGTATGTACTCCACCATTGTTGTGTACAGTATGTTTGTTTGCAACTGCCTCTTGTCGGCAACCATCAGCCTGTCATACTGAGCAGAGCAAAGACGGTTGACATTGTCCATCCACAAGATGGTGACAGAGACCACATAATAAGCACTTAAAGGAGAAAAATTTCAATCAACAGCTGATCAAATCATTATAATAAAGGTAAGTGACTTTCTAAGTCAACCTCTCTCTTTTGTATGTTGTCGAGCTGTATTTATACCAGAGAAACTGGTAGTCTTTCTAGTAGTGTTTGCTTTTGCTTTGGATTTTTCTGGGTTAATTATTGTGATATCCTGATTGCAACAGAGGAATAAATGTATCAAGTCTGATGGAATTTCATGCCATTTAGCCTTATAATCTTAAAAATGTTAGCAAAATCAGCTGTTTTGTTATCACTTTAGACATTACGCTAGAGAATCACTCAAACACTTGCTCTAAAATGTCGTTGGTGAAGTAGCAACGGTTTCTGCTGTTCTGAACTCAGATGCAGATGTGAATGAATGGTGGAAGAAAGTATTCCTTATACAAAAGGATATTTGATATTCTCTGTGTTTGATTTTCTTTTTTATAAACACAATTATGCAGTCAAACTGTTGTATGAACACAATATCACACTCGTTGCAGTTTGATATCGCTGTATATCGTTACTGGTGGAACACTAAGGCACTCAGCCGCAAGCCTACCACCAGTGCTGATAACTATATCGCACTGCTAGTCATGTGATCTTGCTCATTTGTGAATGGATATGACATCATAGTCAATCATAGACATCAAAAAATTAAATTTTCAGGTGTATTTTCAGATGTAAATAAAAGTATGTCAGGTGTACACTTTTATTTATGCAGTTCCAGTCCCAAAAACACGGTTGTCATGCAAACAAGCAGGCAAAAGCATAAAAAAGTTTACCACTTTTGGCTGAAAACTCTGTTGTTTAAACGTCCCCTAAATCTCACTCACCGGGTGACAAACAAGTATTTATGATTACAAATAGTTTTACATCACAAGCTCTTCCCTTCCATGCTCTTCCAGTGGTAAAGTTCAACCAATGGTTTACAATCTTTGAATTAAATGGTACAAGGAAGTACGGTTCTACTCATTTTCTAAAAGTTCCCAGAATGGGTCCAAATAGCATCCTACTGACTTCAAAGCTAGATTCACAGAGTTCTAGCTTCATTTCAAAAGAGCCGCTGCAAACTATCAAACACAGAAGAGCATATTTCATTTATGAAGACGTGCAGTTAGAGTTCAGAAACAGACCTGGGGAGAGTCGAGTCAGTGGGTACGCTCCAGGCGTAATTGATAGGAACTGAGCCAAAGATGAGTCCCAGAGGAACTCCTCAACTCTTACTTAAAAACCTACACCTTTGGAGAGAAAAACTCGAGAAACAATACAAAGTGCAGAAGACTGAAACCTAAACACAATTAAATCCCAAAAAAAAGCATTCGGCTTCACAGGAACAGGCTGGGTTTTTTCAGTTTTGTCTGAACGTCTCAAAAGAGTACTCACAACCCCCAGAAGCAATCAGCAACAGTTATATTCAAGAGTCATATAGCCTTAAACCAGCACATTATGTTAAAGTGTTGCTGGATGGCGTTTAACAGGCCGATGTAATGTCGATACTGCAGAATAAGCGGAGTTATTGTTATCTGGAGCGGTGCCAGTAGGCTAACGTTAGCAAACTGCACAGACTGCGGTCAATCTGCTCTCAGATCAGTTCACTTCAATGACTGATCATCTGACCGCCGCTGCACACATGAGCAGACTCTTCAATTCTGCTCAATGTCTGACAGGCCCTCTGCAATGCCCCTTTATGAAACAGGCATTAAAATCTACCGAGGCCACTCACTGTCAAAGGTTCAACTTACTGCCTTGCCAAAGGAAACATTCACTTTATCCTTCTCCAGCAGTGTGAATAAACAAGGGAAACAAACGGAGAAACAAACTGGCCAAAACAAGAGTGCAACTCTCTGTACTGTAACTTTCTCTCTCTCGTTCTTTCTTCTTCGCTGTCTCTCGGGGGGCATCCAGTGAAGCGGAAAGGCAGTCAAGCTAACCAAGCATGTCTGTCCTCTGCTCCTATCCAAACCCACAGCCGCTTAGTGTATGGTTCCCATGAAGGAAGAGGGATGCTTTGTAAACTGACATGTAAAGTACACTTCCAACTCTGCAGCTCTGCTAATTGGCGCAGAGCTAAATGTGTATTTAATCTGATTGTAGGAACCAAGTAAAAGAGAGAAGCAGAAGAAAAAAAACTGAGACCGCTTTATAATTGAGATTTCAGAGATGCCTGGATGCTGAATGTTTGTAGGGATACAAGCTACCATCAGGGTAGCTGAAATGACGTGTTCCTGTGTGATTAGGAGGAGAGGAAAAAGCAAGCTGTCCTTACCTCTGGATTTGGAAGAGAAGGACAGGGAAAGCTCGCTGAACATGTCCGTATTCTCAAACCGCTCCTCTTTGACTTTGAGCCAAAAGCAATTTTCCGCCATCTCCTGAGGCACTATCTGCAAGCACAGGAAAACTCCATCAAACACCAGCAGGAAAAGAGCAAGGGAGTACTGGTGCACACTTAAGCGCGTGCACACACACATACACACACACAAAAGCGTGCATATATGAATGGCACACCATGAAATATGATCAAATTATTTGAACTCAAGTTTCCTATGCCCACCAAGACTTCATTTACTTGGTCCAAAATACAGTTAAAAATAGCGTATCTTCAGGATTTTTTTCTTTAAATAAATAAACTGTATAATAATTGTATATTATTGTAGGAATAAATTGTAGGAAAAATTTTTCTTCCTCACCATGTCTATCATGAATCAGCTGTGAATAGACTGTGACGTTAGCTAACATTGGCCGTTTATCCGTATCAGCGTCACTCAACTGTGAATAATGGCAGAGCCGTGCTGACCGTTAGAGCCAATCGCAGCCCTTTCTGTTGAGTGCAGGAACACAATGACCGCAGGTGTTAAAGAACTCACTCTACAACGCTCAAAAAGTAAGCAGGATAATATTTACGTTTATTAATTTACTATAAATTCTCATGTTGTCCTGTGTGTGCATGTACTTGAGTTTTGTATGATGCATTCAAAACAAAAAGGGTTTTAGGTGCAGTACATAAATCTGACTGTTTGTGTAAAATAACAAAATTGTATTACAAGAATGTAAATATATTACACATTTTAATACAAGAATTCTTGTGCTGTGAAATACAATCTAAAATTATGTATGTAATTGTCAATGCACTGTGAATGTCATGATATCAATATGAAAAAAATTATATATCTATATATCTAATATTTTATAGAAAATTTACTAAATAAAATGTTAAATACTGTAGCTATTTTCCTAATTTGTCATGACAACAGACAACTTTATTGAAAAATATTTTTTTAATAAACAGTAGCACAGTGTTTTATGAAATTATAGTAAATCGCATTTTAAATCGCAAATTGCAATTAGATTTTTTTTCTCCAAATTGTGCAATATATATTGACAACAAAATATTATTGTCAGTTTAAATGGTGTCAAGGATGTCAAACATGTGTATTAATAAAATATGCTGGTTAAGGAAATAGTTATTAAAACTTTTTTATTAAAACTTAGTTATTAAAAAAAATTGTTTTTCTGCTTTTTAGAAAGCTTTTACAAACCTGTAACAATTGACGTCAATAGTACGTCAATAGATGGCAATTGTAAGAAACGCAAAAAAAATTAAAATAAATAAGTCAATGATTTCAGATTTCTAGTATTAATATATATATTATATATATATATATATATATATATATATATATATATATATATATATATATATATATATAGGAGAGTTGTTAGGGGAGAGTTATTAAAGTCTAACAGACACCTTCTGCTCACCATTTCTGTTTGTTGTCAAAACTGACAGTTGGAGCAGCATGATAAAATACATTAGCCACACCTATTTGCTTAGATTTAAAAATAAATAAATAAATAAAACAGGATATGCATTTTCAGATTACTATTGAAGATTAGAAATGCACACTTTTTTTCTAAATGACATGCACAGATGATTTGTTCAAATAAAATTATTTTGTTCAAATAATATATATTTATATGAATATTTTTCATAGTATAAAGCTGTGAAAAGAGTTTGTTCTGAAATAAGTGCACATACCTTGTGTGTGTTTAGTTTGTTTTAGTGTGGGACTAGCATCAGGATCAAATGGATGTAAATCTGTGTAGAGAAGTGGCCTTTTAAACTATTTAAACTATACATTTTCTCGCTTATAATTTGCATACACTATAGTAACCTCCTCCCCCTCATCAGTTCTCTCCACTTCATTACAGTATCTGAATAAGATAATTCAACTGTGCTACATATCATAATCAAACCCAACATGTATGTGTGCAATAAATTAGGTGTCTGCAAACTTGACATTTAAGGCCTAACATTTTAAAGCTTCTGTTGTATTTTTCCTGATAAAAAAATCGAAAGAGCTTTCCATCCATATAGATCTGTCCCCAGTTTAAAGCATTAACATCTTTAGTTAAAGATCACCAAAACAACAGCATTAGAACAGCGGAGAAGGTTTTTGAGGTGGAAATGCCTTTTTTTTTCTTTTTAAGATTGACTAATCAGTAGGCTGCCTGAAGAAATATTCTCATTTTCAAAAACAGATATTAAAGAACAGACAGACAGATGGAATGATAGTACTCTAAGCAGACTGATATAAAAATAGAAAGAAAAAGAAATATGATAGACAAACAGATTTTTCATTGGATGGATGGATGGATGGATAGATGGATGGATGGATGGATGTATATGTGGATGGATTGATGGATGGATGAGTGGATGGATGGATGAAAATATATGTAAATTCATCCTGTTATCCTCTTAACATCAATATAAAACAATGTCTGTCATCTCAAGGTGCAATGCGTCAATCAGAATCTGGCAGCTTTTTTATCTTTCTTTATTTCTTTCTTTCTTTGTTCTTGTGCTCTGCAATCAACATATCAACCATCAAACTCGAAAGAAAAGAAAATGACAGGTTACATTTGGCATGAAATGGCACCTTTGCAAAGATGTTTCCTTCTTAATCTCAGTGTACATTGTTGCTGTAATCTTGTATAATTGCAGCCCAACACCTAGAACAATATATGCAGCAAGAATATATCAACTGTATATACTATTGCCAAGAATTCTGTGGGTTATAATTAGAATCCTGATATAGTAACTTATTGTCACCAGCATAAGGAGGTTAGTGGATAAAAATACAGTTGGTGTGTTGGCTGAAAAAACAGAACGCAATATGATTTAATTGTAATTATCAAATTGCCAAGACTACATTGTAATTACACAAATGTGTTTTTTTTAGAACCTGAGTGAATGAACAAATGAGATTTTTCTTGTATTTCTTTGTATTTCTCTACACTGCAAAAAATGCTTTTCTTACTTAGATGTTTTGTCTTGTTTCTAGTCCAAATAGCTCAAAATACTTAAGTCAAGAAGCCTTTTCAAGCATAAAATGTCTTGTTATAGGCAATAGTCTACCAAAATTAAGGGATTTTTTACTGAAAACAAACAAAAAAAATCCGTCAATGGGGTAAATTGATAATTTTGTCAATATTTTGGTATAATTATTCTTCAAAGGCAAGGCAACCGTATTTATATACCAACTTTCATGCACTATCATCATTTAAAGTGCTTTACATAAACAAAAATAAAAGTCTAAGAAACAAAAATGTGTATAAAAATAATTTTAAAAAGTTTTAAATGTGGTAAAGCAGGTTTAAAATGAATAAAAAAAGTATAAAAGAAAGACATTCAGTAAAGCACAGCGCCCATTCAGTAAAGGCACAGCTAAACAGATGTGTGTTAAGCAAGCGGCAACATCTCACTCTCTCGTGAAGCTACTGTAATACTGTAATAAATAAAACTGCAATTCATCGAAATTCCGCTAGGCTTGGCTCCATAATAGAGCACATTTCTATTGACCCCAATGGTAAAATAAACAACTTTACAGCAGAAATTTTTTTTTTTACAGCCTGGTATAAAAAAAAAAAAAAAAAAAAACATTTGTTGTGTATAACTAATATTCCACTTCATGAGAACTGTGAGGAGGTGATTTTTTATTTTTATTTTATTATTTTATATCTCTCAGTTTTCATTTATATTAATTTAAATAAGTCTGCATAATTAAGGTCGTGGCTACCTGAGTGACAGCTCGGTCTCGCTGGTTGCCGTCATATAACCTCTGATTAGCCTCTGAACTCAGCTTATGCATTGTATTTTTGTTTTATGTGCTTTACATTGTCAACTGCCTTATGGAATTATTTCTTACAATTATCAGATAATATGGCATGCTGTGCACTTAATTGTGTTCACAAACCATTCAAGTAGCCCACATTTTTGAAGTGAGTGATATTATATACTTATATACCATCTCTACAAATGTATTTGTTTTGTTTCAGATAATTTATCTTTTATAATTTTCTTTAGAACTGACCGCACTTTAGAATCTGACAGATTGATTAGCTGTAGCCTACAGAACAGTCATCTGATTCCTTGTCATATAGTCTTATGCCTGGATTTCATGAATAGCCTTGCATTTACTAACAGACTATATTTGAAGTATTTGGAAGTAATTTGCGTTTTCCTCCAGTAGAAAAATGTCATAAGACCAATGCTTAATGGCTCAATGTATTACAACAGTGCTTTAAAAAAAAGACCAAACACTTTATTGATATAGTATTCAACCAAGCACTTGTGGTCAGAACACAAATAAATTGCAGGTATTAAAGTAAGCGCTTCTCCCAAAGAAAAGCCAGTCTAAGCAAAATGCTAGCAGGCATCTGTAGCTTCACCTCTTTGCCCTTCTTTGGTTATCCCCGGTTGTTGCTATGATGCGCGAACAAAATGACGATGGTTGGCTGCGCCTACTTGTAGCTTTATTTGTGATCTTAAGAAACCTATGGGTGACGTCACGAATTCTACATCCCTATTTTTTATAGTCTATGGCAGGGGTGTCAAACTCATTTTAGCTCAGGGGCCACATGAAGGAAAAATCTATGACCAGGTGGGCCTGACTGGTAAAATCATGGCATATTTAACTTAAAATTCACAACTTCAGATTGTTTTCTTTGTTTTAAAACAATCAACATAAAACAGGAGCATGAGGACAACACAATTTCACGGTAATTTGTAACTTTTTGATTTAATGGCTAATTTATATGAATTTGTACAATATCATTCAAACAATTTAGCATGATTTGCTTATCCACCAAATGATCGTACATTTTCGTATGTCTGAACTCACACGAATTAGCCACTAAACTGACCAAAAATACAGTGTTGGGCAAGCTACTTGAAAAATGTAGTGAGCTAAGCTATTAGCTACTCTACTTAAAAATGTAGTTTAACTACACTAAAAGCTAACCCTTGGGAAATGTAGCAAGATAAGCTAAAAGCTACTTGGCAAAAGTAGCTTAGCCACATATAAGCAATTTTTTTTCATTT